CTCATCTTGTATGTCACGTTCAGAGTTGATGCGAGATAGTCGGCGAGAAAAAAATTGATAGAGATAACAAATAAAAAACACCTATATACCGATTATTTTTGTATTTTACATATGTATATGACTTCTGACAATCCATCTAAAGATGTTACTCGAGATAATGCAACATAAATATGACGCAACTAAATACATTTGCTTCTTATGTTTGTGTCTTATATAATTTTTATTATTTTTACAGCTATACAAAAATTAAATGATTTTTATATATACTTTAACATATTTTTATATATCCATATTTATAAGTGTATTTAAAAAATTATATACAATCATAGGTGGCGACTTTTGTGGGGTGTGTATGGAGTATTCCACACATCAGAATTTTTTATGTGTAGAATTTCACATATGAAAAATTCTTTATAAACAATTTGAAAAAAACAAGTGTTAAACTAAAAATAGTTAAATTTTTTTGAAACTTTTATTTCAATTACACACATTGAGCGAACCAAGCGCAGCCGATAAAATATTCACGCAGTTCTCTTTTGTAGTTCGTATTTTTCTCCGCGAAGAGCGCTAGTCTATAGTTTTTCGTGCACATCTTAGCGACTAGTCTTTGTTTTGGAATATACGAATTCATATTCGTACATTCGATAATATTTAGTAACTATATTGCATGTGCACTCTGAGATTGATGAAACTTTAGATATCGATGCACTTATGAGTTCATAAAAAAAAAATAAAATTCGGAGTTCAACGTTTGCTCTACGAGATTAAATTTATTAAAATTTTTCATTAAGTTTTGTTTTACGAGTTCAAGTATGTTTTAAGTTAAAAAACTATAAATATTTATAAAATATTTATAATTTTGTTGCTCATCATTTTGTATAATTATAAAGAGATTTTAATATGGAGATTTAAATAAGTTCTGGAAATTTTTTGCCCCCCCCCTCCTCCCACGATCAAGTTGTCCTACTCCACACATGGCGAATCGACAAGTCGCCGTCCCTGTGTACAATAAACATTATACTAATGTTAATACTTGATGCTAGCTTGATGATAGCTAGCTTGCTAGCTTAAAAGAAGAAATTTGCAGGATAATGATCTAATCATGTCTATTAAGGGTATATTAATTGAGAAAGAAGTTAAGTACAGAATAGGAAGATTTAAATTTTCACAGACTCTTATTTATTCACAGGTAGACAATGTCTGACAAACGTAAAATTACATTTATTATTTATTATTTTTAATATATAATAAAAGTATGAAATTGCATTTTTTCTCGCATTTTTTTGCTCGTAACAAAGAAATTGATTTTTTATCAATGTCTGAAAAACCACACTGTGTTAGACCACAATTTGCATGTTCATGCTGACCACAGACAAGAAGAAAATGAGTTTATTACGTTCTTGAAGGTCAACTTTGTAGAGAAAGGAAGAGCTCCGGACGACCGAATCTCGTTAAGGGCGAGTCTCGCATTTACCCCCGGCTACCCGAGATGTACTTGCACAGGTTGAACAATTTATTGCATCTTTCTTGCGCGTTAAAGCGTACTATGAACCGCATACCTTATGCTTGGTTCCCAGCTGGGTTGAATCATAAATCGTATGGCTTTCTCCTTTGCTCTCTCGGACTTTCGTCCTCTGATCCTCGATCCACCACGGTCATTCTTATTTCTTATACTAGTCGGAAGACTCCTTCATGCACCTTCAAGTGCAGCAATGTTCAAGCTTGTTCTCGTCGGATGTATGAGTTCTGCTATCTCTACTCGCTCGCGCTAGTTATTTGAATCTTTACTTCATGTGCTTTTACCACTCGCTTTTATCCTTCGTATGTTTACGAGCCGCTCCATTTGAGATACGAGTGCAAGCTGCATCGTTATATGTTCGCAACATTTCATGCAGTACTTCCCAAACAAGAACAATGTTTGTGTTAAGGGCTAGTTCATATTAACAGGATATATTTCTATGTGCAATTTGTGAAAATGTTTTTTTTCGTGAATTTTTGGAGACAACTTATTTTTCATTATATTTTAAATATCTCATAATCAGTGAAATCCTGTATTAATTGGACATGAAAAATATTTTAAGCACAAGTATCACTATAAAAAAGTTTTTTGAGGATTATGTAAAGGATTATACAATTCTAAAATTTATAATGCGATTACAATTAATATTTTAATGAGGTACAGTACAATATCATTGAATTATATCATTGAATATCACCGTGGTAGAGGAAAAAGTACAATTTATATAGTCATATTCGAATGCCGATATCTTTCCTTAATAATTTAACAAAATAAATTATTTGTTTTCACAGAACGTGTTTTATGTGATGCAATTGTTATATATACAAATAATATACGATTTCTAATAGCTAAGATTTGTCTCTGAAAATACCGGGCCCTTCTTTGCAGTGAGTCTTTTCTAACATTTCGCAATTTCGTTCTGAAATACGTATGAAAAACAGTTGTGATAATAGCAAATAGTGGTCTCGAAAAAGAGATTTATACGCAAGAAGTGATTTTATTCAAATAATATTTTCAATGAAAAAATTATTTTAAATTTTAAAATTCAAGCCTTAAAATTATACTTATATGAAATACAATAAATAAGATATATGTATATGTTATTACAATTAAGAGATGTCTAAATCTAAAATATCATTGTAGGATTGTTCGTGTTACGTTCACTTTTTGCATTCGGAATCTTTGTTTTCTCTCAATAACATCCGAATCTACATCTATTATTTCATTTTAATATAGTATGTATTAGGTGTTGGAATTAATTCGTAGCGTTTTACAAGTGATGGGAAGTACTTTCATTAATGTATTTTTTAATGCTCATGTGAAATAAATAACATTCTTTCATTAAAAACGCTACGAATTAATTCCAACACCTAATATATAGAAATTTTGGATGATTTCAAGCAGTATAATCTATGAGTTGTATATATTTTTGAGAGTGTCCAGATAGTATTATTATAAATAGTTATTTTATAGAATCACGAATAATTTTCATCAAACATTTATTTATCACGTAACCTACATTTATTGAATTGAGATTGAGACTTGAGAGTTATGTAATGCAAATTCTAACTCAATCAAAGAAAAATCAAATATAAAATTTTTTGGATTGTCGACTGAACGAACAGACATCGTGATGAAGTAACGCGTCACCAATACCAAAATATTGGCTATCGATAATGAAATATTTGTGCTTTTCACGTATCCCTATTTCGGGACCTGCGAATTATCCTTCTGCACCCTATATTCCGCCAGGAATGAAATATCACTCCCTCTGGGAGAATTTGATATACTGAGACACGTGCACAAACCCCATTACATCACGTTTACGACGACCACAACGCAGAAACTTGATAATTACATTACGTCACAACCCTCTTTTGTGACAACTACATACATTACTAAGAAGCATGTGATTACAGTTTATTCCGACGATGCTTTTACACGTACAAAATAATTCAGCTTTAACAGCGATCCGGTTTTTTATAATTCATATAATAAAATGTATGGCTTGATGTACAATACAATGCGATGCAAAATTACTTTTGATAATCTCTGTAAACAGCTTACATAAATAATTAAACAAGCTGAGATAAACTAAAGCGCGCTAGTGTGATAAAATTGTGGACTGAAATTAAGTATTGTTATCATAATATTTATTTTTAAGATGTATACAGAGAATATAGTATTTAGTTTAATATTTTGTATTTATACGCTCATAATTATTTAGGATTAATTAATCTTAAACATTATTAAAAATAATTCTAATTTATAATTTTTAGAAATATAGCGTCGTGATTATAAACGATTATAAACAATAGTTTATAAACAGCTAATTATCGTTTTTCAATAATTTTGTAATGATTATTGGTTTTGATTCTGCACAATATTATAATTTCATATTTATTCTATTATAATATATTATAATTAGCTCGATTAATTTCGTTCACGTTGCCGCGATTCAGGAAGTTAGAATTCGCGTTGTTAAATAATTGTCCATTCATTGATAACGCGATGATACGTAGACATTTTAGTCGTTGTTAATGGCAATTTAGTATATATTTGTTACCAGGTTGAAATAAAGAGCCGAACGAAACGAACAATCGCGATTATACACAGGACATGTAATTACCAACAGTGCCGCGGATTCGTCGCACAGGCTATCGTGTAGCAGCACGTATGTAATTATTGGGTTACTGTCAGGCATATCTTGTCGGCGAGTTTTATCGCGATTAAAACGAGATAGAGTTTGTGGCGGCGAAAACAATCAATATGATACCAATGCATCGTGTGTCAATTCACCGAGATTGAATTTTGACCGCGGACAGTCTCGCTTTTTTCCGATGTGAATCTTTAAAGTGAATAAGTGTCAGTCATATCACACAGTTAATTTGTTAAGTCGATTACACGACGACTTAAGAGATGACAGTTAATGAAGTAATAAACCTATAAAATATTTTATCAATTATTTTAAGATGTATTAAATAAATATTATTATTTTAATAATATATACATATTGACAAAAAATATTTTTAAAAGTTACTTTATGTTTTTTTATATTTTTACTTTATATTTTTTCCAAGTTTAATACAGTGTGTGTGTGTTATATTTTTTCAAATTTTTGATAGAAATATTTCTATTTAAAGAAAATGTCTTTTTCAGAATTGAAGAAGAAAAGGAAGAACAATATATAAATAGATCATAATTGTTAACAATTTCCTTAAATGCTGAAAATTAATTAATACATAGTATATTCTCTCTGTTATTAATATTGATATATATTAACATCAAGATGATAATATATAACATACAGTTGAATAAATCGTCAATTGGTAAATTAATATTTATTTATCTTGTTGACGATTCATTAAAGAGATTGTTTTATTCACATAATTTATATCGGATTCATATTTTTTTCATAACGAGATCTATCGAACTATCGCAATTTACTAACCTAATATAAAAAAATTACAGTGTCACTCACCATCTTCAGCATCTCGAAATTTCCTCTCTTCAACATATCTATTAGCCTTTGATGTTCCATTTCCTCCTTTGTCATATACATCTTCTTATTCTTCAACTTCTCGTTTTCATAATCGTCGCACAAGATATTGTGAAAATTCACCTGCTGTACCACATGATCCGGTTTCGTTTGTTCGACGGGATTTTCCGGCAGATCTTGCTCAAATTGCAGGTTCTTAACGAGAACTTCATTGACCACTGCACCACGTTCGTCAACATTTTTTGTCATTTCTTCAACTACACGTTCTTGCAATTTTTCGTCGAACTGAAGTTTATTTCGAGAAAGTTCTTCCTCAGCCTTCAACCTCGAGTCTTTCTGACTCTCTAGTTCATCGACAGGAATTGTAGCGGTTGACAAATTGCTATTCTCTCGCGAATGAATCATCAGTTGATTCTGATCTTCTCGCGAAACGTCCTCGTGAACGCCCACGAGATCTTGGAGGATTGTCGACTCTGGATCTTGTCTAATCTCTTCGTGACCTCTGGATTTTTTCATCTCTGGAGATTGAGATCTGATACTTGATTTAACGTCATCCTGACAAGGTGACCCCGATTGGAAAGTGGCAAAAGTTCTCGCAGGTTCATTAAAAACAACCTGCTGCTGTGGATTCCACTTAATATAAATTGGATTTTCCTTTCTCTTATCCGATTCTTTCGATTTACCGTTTGGTAAACTCTTCTGCATCTTCAGACACTGCTTCAATCCGATCTCCGGATATCTACAGACCAAAGTTCGTGTCGCAACTCGCCAGTTTTGTCGAATGTCTCGTCCTTGAGCGTAAATGGCATTTCTTTGACAGTTGATTCTCGATCTTTAGAAACGCCGACCTTTTCACCGTAAGGTGATGTTTGCAAAGAAGGTCGTAGAATTGATTCAAGGTCATCTGCGTGGATTACTTGTGGTTGCAGGCTACGTTCGTAAATCCTCTCCACGTGATCGGGAGAAGCATAACGCGTGATTCTGACGGACGGAACGTTTTCGCAGACAGCAATCTTGGATCTCCCAGCATTCTGCTCATTCGGTTGTTGCTGCGAATCATTGATCGTGGGGTAAACTCGATTGTTTGGCTTGAAACTGGATGAAGGTGTACTAATTGACATATTCGCTCGATCTTGTGATCCTGTATCTTGCGAAGATACACCAAGATCTTTGCGCGGTAAGATCAATGGTCTTTTAGCCTCCATCGATGCTCCTGCGACCTGTTGACACCTGTTTCGCGGAGTACGTGACTCGACTTGACCTTGAAGAGCTCTAACACGAGCACTAACAGCTGAGCCATAAATCGGTTGTTCGTGTCGCGATTGATCGATTGATCTAGGCTCTCTTCGGACGTCGCTGCAAAATTGAAGTCGGCGTCGCGGCGATTCGATCGCGACGCGGTCAGATTCCGTCGACGAAGCGATCCTCGAGCTACCTCGTGAATAGTTTGCAGCGCATCTCGACACTTCCGTCGATTTACAAGTCGCCTCGACCGTTTTATCGGCAGCGCCGGGTTGCGGCGTCAGCCTGCTTGCCGTAGCAGCCGGCCGCCTACTTTCTCCGTCCTTATTTGGTGAGATCGGTTCGCCTTGGTCACTAAAGCTGCCTCCAAGCAATGGTAGGCCCTTCGTGGGGCCCGACTCGCACGACGGGTCCATCTCCTCCTTAGCAAGCGAGTGCGCAGCAGCCGCCGCTGCACAGTTTTCATCCACTCCGTTTCCAGAACTCCGCTTCAAGGACGGCCTTCTGTAGGAAATAATTGATGATGTCGTTGTAGTTGCCGTGGCCATCGACGTCGTACCGATAGACATCTCGATTATCTTCGAATTGCTGTTAATAGTTGTCCTATTGTGATCAGACTCACTTATCGCCTTCGTCAAATTCATAATCCTACTCGATGCTGTAGGTTTCTCTTCGAGATTCGCTTCGACACGCCTGGACTTGAAACTCGAACCAAGGAGTCCTCTCTGAGGGATCTTGGAGGCTGGATTGGAATCGCCAGATTTCGATGATGCGATATTCGACTGAGCACTAAAGCCATAATCCTGCTGCTTACTCCTCACCGCCAAGTACTCTTTGTACGTGCCTTTACTGGTGTTCACACCGACGTTCACCTTCTCCGGCCTGACACGCTCCAACCTGCGATTCACGCGAGTCAGATCGTCATAACTCGACGAGGTTCCTCCATTCAATCTGTCCTTCGCTTCGTCGGTCGATGTTCGAGATCGCGAATCTTGACCACGATATCTTCGTTGATTCTTCTCGGCGCTGCTGTTGGACCTCGTCAAAGGTTTTTCACGAGGAGCTGCCGGGAAGTTTTGGCTGTGCGCTTGATTCAACCATTCGTCTACCCTTTTCTGGACTTCTCCTTTGCGTAGTAAGATCTCAGGCATCTTCGAACGACTACTTTCGATCGTGTCCATTGTAACTGGCGGCGAAACATAACAGATATCTTGTTGATGTCCTTTATTAAAGTCCTTTTGTCTATCCCGCGAACGCTGTCTCACTTGAGTTTGCTGGTTCACCTTTAGTACCGCTTGAATTTTTTCCCTCGTCGGAATAGATTTAGTTTGAATCTTTACACTGGACTTTACTTGCTTCGACTTTACCTGCTGCCGTTTCTGTTGATTCATCATTATTGCCTCGAAATTCGTCACGCTGATATTACCAACATCACTGAGGTCCGATGATCTACGGTAGTCTAGATCCTCGTATTCATCCAGAATATTGTTCACCGATTGAGTGTCAATCGAACTGATGCTCTTCGACTTGTTTCTCGCGACACTCTCGTCGCTGCTCGAATAATTGCTCTGTTGCTGCTGCTGACGCTCTCGGCTGATCTGTCGCTTGGGACGTAACTTCGATTTCTGATATTTTATCACCGTGTTTTCGAAGTGCGACGAAGTACCTTCAATCTCTTCGCTTCGGTTCGTCTTCGAAGCAGACGATTGACGCGCGTAACGTTGGTGAGACGACTCCCGCCGATGATTGAGCATCTTGTCGTCGTCAGACATCGGCAAGTCCCGCCTAACAATTGTCGATAAACCGGAAGCCCGGAAGGTCGTGAAGCTTCGCACGTTCCGCGAACACGTGTCCTCCTCGACGTTCGTCAACTCTTTCGACGTGATCCATGAAGTGACTAGACGAGAGGCGCCGCCGTCCACATTGATCGCATCCTCATCGGCCAAAGGAATGTTGCTGCCGACATTGGATTTTGAAATTATCTCATCGTTCATTTTCTATCGCAAAACGGCATTTTAGTAGTATCTTCTCAAAGAGAATAGGAGCGAATATCGATGACTCGAAGAAATCCTGAAATGGAAATATTTAAATATGTAGATTCTGGTAAAAATGTTTGAGAAGAAAAAGAGAAAATAATTAATAGCTAATGTTTTATAAATTTAAATCTTTATAAAATTATATTTAATACACTGAGAAAAATGTTCTAATTGTACCAATAAGAAGTATTAAAAAAACGAATTCTGATTATATGAATCAGAATAAACATTTTTCCGATTTAGAATTTTGATATTGTGAAAGAAACTTTAAAAGTATTTTGCAGACGATTAGTAAGTATTTTGCTCAAATGTTAAATAATTTTTCTTAGCATCATGTATAATATTGATTGCTTTAGAATAATGATTTAACGTCTACATTTTCTAAATAGACAACTATCGTTCAGATACACCAAGAAAAAAAATTTACTAATTAAATTTTAATAAATATTTCTTTGAATAGTACTAGCGGAATATTTACTAAATGTAAACACATATTTATTAGATACGAGAAGAAATCATTTTTTGACATTTTTTCCATTTATCTAAATATTTATTTACCGTAAACATTCTGCTAGGACTATTCGAAGAAACGTTTATTAAAATTTAATAGTTATTTTTCTCAATATAAGAAAACACATTACTTAGATACCATTATTTAGACGCGCACGATTATTTTAGATACACTGAGAATGGAGAAAACTAATACAATTTGTCAACTAATTTTATCAGCTCTTTGATAACGGAATTAACTACGTAACATTTTAGAAACTGCTTTTCCACGACTGCTTGCATACAAGTATCAGAAATTATCTACTAGAAATATTTATGCAGGAACTGTTCCCGCAAATCCAACGTAATAAAGTCTCAAACTCGCAGATGCGTGATGTGAAGCGAAGAACGTTCTCCTCATTAATTTTTCAACCTGCACTGAAATTTACGTGCGTGTGCCGCTAAATATACCGCCGCGGCTGCATTTCCGCTTAAACTCTATATGCGCATTATGCGTCATTTTAATTTACGGACACAGACTATTGTTTTGCCAGTAAATCAACAAAGTCACAATAATTGAATGACAAAGGTCAGTGAAATGATTTCCGCAAATTTTGAAAAAAAAAGTCTGAAAAATTTCTGGGAAAAATCTATGATAGAAATGTACAATTTTTTTAGACACTCATCCTGTTATTCTTTAGTATTACTATATTCTCATTATATAATTGTAACAGTATACTGTATAGAAAATGGATAAGAATGATAGACTTTTATTCAGTGGCTGAAACTTCTCCTAATAAAACTTTGCGTGGACATTCGCACAGTTATTTTTTACTATTAAGTAGATTCATTAATTAAAGTACTGCATAGTCCATTTATTGTCCTGTTTTTGTTCAGTAAAAAGTGTTCAGATTTTGCGCATCTTTTATACGCAGTAACCGCAGGCAGAGCATTACATCTTGAGTCCTAAGTAGTTTCACTTCTCATTTATTAATATAATTCCTTCGAGTAACTGCTAAAAAAATGCGTGAAATTTCTACCAAAGATTTAACAACATTTAATTCTGCAAATAAAAAAGTATGAATCTGGGCTATGAGAATCAGGGTTATCTTACGAGATAGTGTTAAGTTTAAGATTAAAATTCCCTTCGGTGAAATTCGCTATTTCGAACTCAACCACGTTTTAGAAATCTCACCGATCAGCGATAAATAGCAGAAGGCGCGCTTCCGTAACGATTGCAGCGATCCGACGCCGCCATCGTTTGCCAACATTGGAGGCACGTTTTATCGTTCGTGGAATTTCCGGTAGCTGACCGGTATCCGGTTTGAATTAATTCGGTTCCTGAGGACATTAAATATTATAATGTGTTCGCCCTGAGGAAGTCGTGCGTGGAATCCTTAAGAAACTCAAGAGATTAACGGAATTTAATATACCAGCAGAAAGAGAGAGAGAGAGAGAGAGAGAGAGAAATAGTGCGAAACAACATTATTTCTTCGTAAAATGAGCTTACAAGTTTATATAGCGCCTTTACATTATTAAGAAAATATCATCAACGCGTCTAAGGAAACTTTTAAGTAATGAAAATAGTATTTTCTTTGTTAAAGCATATAAACATTTATTTCAAGCTTATAATATTTCACGCAAAATTGAATTTATAAAATATGGTAATGTGCCTAAAATACTTATCTATATTAATATTGTATCTTATCTTCCTTAGCTCGACCAAAGTGATTTTTTTCTAAGAATTTTTATATATATTATAAAATATGTAAAAAAAGAAATTAAAATAGATAATTTAAATGAATCATTTTATACATCTACAAATATACTAATTGTGTTTCATAGTTTAAAGACTAAACTAACATTGTATAACTAAAATATTAGAAGAACTAAAATATTAATACAAAATATAGCAACAGTAGACAAATTAGCTCGGAC